GACTGGCAAAAGTGTTTTCAGAGTTGGTTTAGGCGATAGAACTTTGTATAGAGCATGATGGAGAATATTTTGAAAAGACGTAAAATAAATCTTAATAATATCTAGAATACTTTTTGTATATCCTTAAACTTATTAAGTGTCCTACGTATGATATATGACAGGACAGGTTTAAACTTCTACGACCGACTATACTGTTTGCCAAACGTAACTGTTATGTCAAATCCTTGCCACAATAAGAAATACACATATAAATCTCGTTACTGTTATAAACTGACAATGTTGTAAAAAGAAAATAAAAAAATATAGTAGAAGAAAAGTACCAATAATTCTCAAAATGCTTTTCTGCATGCAATGTAACCAACTTACTAGTGAACTTCTCTTTCATTAATAAAATTTTAATAAAATCCATGAATTTCAATACTCACTTAGCGTTGTTATCGTTTTGATCGGTGTTTTCTGACGGCGTCCACGTGCTTTCCATGGTGTCCTCATCGTGATCCGTCAGCTTTGGATCCATCACACTTTGCATTACGGCCGTTTCATAACTAAACAATAAAAATCACCTGATCATAAAAAAATAAACAAGTGTTGGTATATTTCTGATCTTATTCGATCTTCCAACAAAATATGTTACAAAAATTAGAAAAATTTTTAAAAACTCAGAAAGTTAATTAGTCCATCTTGTCTTAAATAAGATCTTTCCAACGAGAAGGCATAACAAAAGACAATAGAAACATACATATATGAGCTTCTGTAGGCACATCTCTATAAATAAAACGCAATTGCTGTCAGTAAGTCTCGCCTACATAAAACTCAAAAACGGTTCGACTGAAAGAACAATGGCAGACTTTCATACATAAAATTAGTTGAGAATGAATGGTAGCGTCTATATATCAAAAATATCTTAAAATGTTAAGCGTCACTCCCTTAATAACGCTGTCAAAGAATTTTGTCCTGAGAAGGCGTCAAAAAGTATATTTAGATATGAACCTTTTTAGGTTATGTCTTATGTCACTTGGAAAAAGTCATGCGTCCTGTGGTTGTTTGATGTTAGCTTAATACATTCTCAACATAACGTGCCCTACCTACATAATTGAGAGTTTTTAGATTATTGTATCTCTATTATATGTTTTCATACTATAAATGTATATTTCTGGCATGGCTCCAGGGCCTTTGTGTCATACAGTGACATTCTCAGAAGGGCTAGAACGCAGAGTCGTAAAGCCAGAAATAAAAAACTTTGACATTTTGTTTTAACTAGTGTTGCCATAACATTAAATAGAATTGTTACACATTACTATGATTGAGATAATGTATTATTGTAGGACGTTCTTTGTAAGAGACTTCTTTTCCACCATATAATTTTTTATTATTATTACTGATGGTATAGTTATTACTAATAATAATTACAGACTGATGAGAAGAACTTTAATAAGTAGATATAAGATCGTAGAAACTCTAACATATATTTTAAATACATAACACATTTTGTGAATAAATGGTTTGAACATTCACTTTATAGTGATTTTTTTTGTAACTTTTTGACTGGAGCTTTGACTGGTTTGCAGTCAGTCTTTGTCATTTACCATGTTATATGGCAGACCTCGCTTTCTACTACTACTTTTTTAATTCCTTTCATGAATGTGGATAACTTATTTTGATAATAAGTGGTAGAATTTAAAGTTTTGTACAACCAACTTCAAAATAAATATAATTTATTGTTGATTTTTTTTAAAACCGCTCGACCGTTTTAGATAAAATTTAAATGGGACAACCTATAACCCTTTGAAAACAAAATAAGAATTTTTCAAATCGGTTCAGGCATCTTCGTATAATCGGTGAACATACATTAAAAAAAGATTCCGACGAATTGTAAACCTCGGTCGTAAATTGTAAAAAGTCGCTTGAAAAGGAAAAATTTCAACTTCAACAAGACAGTATAAAATACCTTTAAGAATTTCATAGATCTTAGGATTTCTATAGCAGAGGTATCAATGGGTTGAATATTAAAACCGTTTTAAGCCTATTTTTAAATTTAGTATAAAAACACCTGGTCCAGACGTCATACATTTGAAAACATAAAAGTAAATTTTTGGTAACATAAAATATAAATACGCGATTAAATCGATAAAACCTAGTTTTATTTAAAAGTAAATTTTTATTAAGATTATTATTGATAAGCTATTTTTAAAAGTTATGATTATATTATGTTATTATTTTGTTGATGGTGACAGTATGAAAATATAATATTGAAAAGTACATGGTAATGGTGAGATAGAAGAAAGAGAGAGAAGATAAAAAATAGTGTTGTGTGATGTCGTATCGTGTCGTGTCGTATCGTGTCGTGTTGTGCCGTGTAGTGCAGTTTAGTCTAGTGCAGTGCAATGTATAGTGTAGTGTAGTGTAGTGTAAGCTGTGGTTCGGGGTTGTGGCGAGTTACCCGGGCGGGGGGTGCGCGCCGCGCACGTAGGCGGGGTTGTTGAAGACGCGCGCCGCCTGGCGGCCGGCCGACTCGCGCGCCTCGCGCGCCTCCCACGCGCGCCCCGACGCCGCACGCTTGATGAACGGCAGCGACGACTCTGACCACACCACCAAAACCAACATTACTATACTACTTCATCCTCAGTACACTGTAAACAATCCTCTGCCATTGGAATCTTGCATTACAACTGTTTTATTAATGATGTAATTTCCTAATTATGCGTTGTATAATAGCTATACATTACATAGGTATATACCTAGTCAGGTCATAAGTATTGTCACACAGTAAAAACTTTTCTTTTAGAATGCTGGCCACAAAAAAAGTTTATTGAATTCGAATTTCGAATTGTTCATGAAAATAAAACTGTATACTTTTTAGAATTTTGCTCATTTTTAAATATGGAGTGGACGCTTAAAGAAGACCGCGTTGCAGTTGCATCGTTGCGGTTACGCGCCAATTCAAATTTTTGACATACTGAAAAATTTGAATATAACCAAAAGATTCGTTTATCGTACCATCAAACGATACAATGAAGACTCTAGTGTAGATGACAGGTCAAGAAGTGGTCGCCCTCGGTCTGTTAGGACTCCAGCAGTGATAAAAGCTGTGAAGGCGCGAATTCAAAGAAATCCCAAACGTAAGCAGAAACTGTTGGCCCTTCAGATGGGGTTAAGCTGAACCACGCTGAAAAGGATGTTAAATGAAGACTTAGGGCTTCGGGCATATCGAAGAAAAACAGGACATCGTTTGAATGCTCGTCTAATGGACCTGAGACTGAAGAGATGCCGCGCTTTGTTGAAGCGGTACGCGGGAAAAAAATTTCGGGACATTCTTTTTTCGGATGATAAAATTTTTACCGTAGAAGAGAGCTACAACAAACAAAATGATAAGGTGTACGCACACAGTAGTGAAGAAGCAAGCAACCGTATTCCGCGTGTCCAACGAGGTCATTTTCCATCCTCGCTCATGGTATGGTTGGGAGTTTCCTATTGGGGCTTAACAGAGGTACATTTTTGTGAGAAAGGTGTAAAAACGAATGCAGTTGTGTATCAAAATACAGTCCTGACGAACCTTGTGGAACCTGTTTCTCATACCATGTTCAATAACAGGCACTGGGTATTCCAACAAGATTCGGCGCCAGCTCATAGAGCGAAGAGCACACAAGACTGGCTGGCGGCGCGTGAAATCGACTTCATCCGCCACGAAGACTGGCCCTCCTCCAGTTCAGATTTGAATCCGTTAGATTACAAGATATGGCAACACTTGGAGGAAAAGGCGTGCTCAAAGCCTCATCCCAATTTGGAGTCACTCAAGACATACTTGATTAAGGCAGCCGCCGATATTGACATGGACCTCGTTCGTGCTGCGATAGACGACTGGCCGCGCAGATTGAAGGCCTGTATTCAAAATCACGGAGGTCATTTTGAATAAACTTTAGTGTCATAAGAATCTATGTTTTGTTAAGTTCATTTTGGTATATAAATGGTTACATAATGAATAAACTTGTTTCAATTATTTTATATTAAACATGTGACAGAATTTATGACGTGACTAGGTATTATAGCTATTAGTACATTGGTACACTTTTGGTAAATGATAGCCACATTGCAATTGCATTGGAATGGATCGACGGGATCATATATGAATTGAAAACACTTTGTTTTTTCAATTCGTTTGCCCAGTAAACAAAGCATTTGGCTACTGCATACATTACACATATGAAATATGAAAATAGTATAATAACAAATGGGACAAAAATAGCTGAACTGTTTAACGATTACTACGTAAACCTAACTGATGGAAGGTATATGTATAATATGGATAAAAAGCGAAAGATATTATCAACGATCAATCATATATCAAAGTCAATTTTTCTTGAACCGGTGAATTCAACAGAAACTAGTCGTATTATACAATCACTAAACAATTCTAGCTCATGTGGGTATGATGAAATCTCAACAAGTGTTGAAATTCTGTAAAAACGAGCTAGCCCAGGTATTAACATACCTAATTAATTTATCCTTTGAAACAGGATGCTTTCCTGAGGCTCTTAAATTCTCGATCGTGAAACCTATCCACAAAAAACAGAATAAATCTGAAATCGGTAACTATCGCCCTGTTACATTAATACCGGTATTATCAAAGGTATTTGAAAAGTCCATGCAAAAACGACTGCTCAACTATTTAACAAAATTCAAAATCATTACACCGGAGCAAAATGGTTTCCAAAAGCGAAAATCAACTACCCTCGCGTGCTTTAATCTAATACATAACGTTATCCTTGGACTCGATGATAAACAGTGTACTACTGTACTTTTCTTCGATATGTCTAAGGCATTCGATTTTGTAGTTCACAATGTCTTGTTAGATAAACTGGAAAAGTATGGGATCAGAGGTCTTTCTCACTCTTGGCTTAAAACATATCTAGAAAATAGACATCAGTGCGTAGAAATAAATAGAATAAGCGAGAGGAATAGAACTACATCCGATCGTTCTAATTATAAAATAAATAAGTTTGGAGTACCACAGGGTAGCGTTCTAGGTCCTATATTATTTTTATTATATATAAATGACTTACCGAGAGTGACTAAACATCAATGCATAATGTTTGCAGCAGATGACATTTCCATATTTGTTAAATCGAATTATAATGACAATTTAAATAATTATGAAAATGACATTAATATCACAATTAATAATATAGTTCAATATCTTAAATTAATTAATCTAAATGTATATCTGAATGAGACAAATTTCATAAATTTTAACATAAAAGGACGAGCAGCAAATAATCTTAATGTGCTGTACAAAAACATACCTATTGAAAGGACTACCATGGTCTCATTTTTGGGTGTAGTACTTAACGAGAACTTAAATTTCACTGGCCACATTGATAAAGTTTGTAATAAAATTAATAGGTTTGCTTTCGTTTTAAGGCGTTTAACTAAGATAACGACTCTTAGCGTAACTATGTCTGCTTATTATGGTTACGTCGCGTCTAATATTAATTATGGTCTGGTTCTGTTGGGCAACAGCATTGAAGTAAATAGAGTTCTCATCGCACAAAAAAAAATGTATACGTGCTATATGCGGTAAAGGTCCATTTGATACATGCAAGCCCCTATTTATTACGCTGGGTATATTAACAGTCCCTGGCATGTACATATTAGAAATATATAAATTTGTCAAACAACATGCAGAGTTATTTAAGTCAGCTTGTGATATATATCCACGAAGCACTATAGATAGTCAACGGCTCGTCTTAGACGATAAACCAAAAACTTCTGTCTATCAGAAAGGTTGTTACTGTATGTGTGTAAAAATATTTAATAAAATTCCAAAGCAGTTCAAACACGGCCCTATGATTTTCATGACCAAAAAGTTACGTGAATGGCTAATAAAAAAATGTTATTATAGTGTTAAGGAATTTCAAAATGATAATGATATGCATGTTGACATATGATAGACGTAATTGCTGTGTATCACTGCGTATCACTATTTTATCAGACCTTTATTTTTGATTGAATGTATTCAAATTTTAATTATGATATTGACATAGTAAATTATGACATTTTGAATTATATAACTTACATTTAAGAACTTGACATTTTAGAATCGACTACCACCTATATTATTTGGTAATTTAAAAAAAAAAGTTTGCATGCCGTATCTCATGGCTAAATAGGTCTTTAAGCAACTTATTTTTATTGTAAAACCCTATCACTTACCCTATGTATGGCAATTAAAGAAATTTGAATTTGAATTTGCATCAATGGGTCTTAGGTCGTCTAATCCTTTGAAAAAACCCAACATGTGCGTAAAAAGGAAAACGGTTTTTAGGATCTGGTTGTGTTGTGGTTGTTGCTGTATTCTAATTAATACACTGCATTCTAGCCCACCTACGATCTTATCGCATGAGTGGGTAGATCAAAGCGCATAGTGCTGCTGCGATGGTAAGCGACACTTATAGCATTACAACCTACGCAGTTAATAGCATCCTACAGTATTTTCAAGTTGACGCAAGGATCGAAATCGACCAAAATCCAAGGAATAAAAAATGCGAGATTACCTTCATCTGGAGGTTGGTAGTCAGTTTCACTGTTAGGATGAGGGGAAACTGCAGGGGGCTGTGGCGAATGTGGCATAGATGGCGATGGGGGCGATGGCTGCACCGCGGTGTACAGCGCGTTGTATGGCGGCGGGTGCTCCGGAGCAGTCGCGGGGACTACACTTCGCTCGCAACGCGACTGCATTGATGTACTGGTTGCTGGACAATCAGTTTTCAATATATTAACGGCTGACATTTTGACGACCATTAGCTACAATACCTGTATCTATTTATTAATTTAACTAGTACATTTACAATACACATATGTCATTATCACAAAAACATACACAATTTTATACTTTCTGATATCATGAAGCAAATACAAAAAGAAGACGGCATAAGCAACTGTGCACTGTGATTCTAAGTAGTCCTGACGTCATCATAGTGGGCGTGGCTTTAGTTAGTATACTGTCAGCATTCGTCCTGTGCGCTTATGTGTTAAAAAGCGCAAATCGGTGTATTTTCGTAGTATTAAGAAGAACAGGATGAAGTGTTGTGTTTTATCGTGTAAAAACTACTCATATAGACGCTCCGATACTATGGATGCCATCACCGCAAATCGGTGTATTTTCGTAGTATTAAGAAGAACAGGATGAAGTGTTGTGTTTTATCGTGTAAAAACTACTCATATAGACGCTCCGATACTATGGATGCCATCACATTTCATTTGTAAGTAATTTACACCTAATTTATTTAAATAGTTCTAGAAAAATCTTTTTGCGTCGGCTTTCAAATATAATTAAATATATTCGACACTAGATGGCAACACTTTGTGACATGTGAACTAAAAATATAAAGCTCCGTAGAGCTCAGTATTGGTAAAATAATCATACAAAGGTGCTGAAATTTGTTTTGCATTCAGACGTAAAGAAATTTTAATCGCCAAAATATTATTTTTACAGTTTATAGTCATTTTGTGAACAGGCCGCCATCTACCGTCAAGGTAGCTAAACTACATTGCAACATCGATATCGAACGTTTCGAGTAGTTTTACTATTTATCGGTAGATGTAGATAGTGTAAAGAGGGCGGGGCTTTGCATCCCCTCACCCCGCGAATTGTCACGCGTTGTTACATAGTGAAATTTAATTACGTCTCCTCTTTATATTTGCTTCATGTTCTGATATGCATATCAATAACAAGTGTACATAGCATTCACAAATGGAGACATGCAACTTAATATTGGATTAATTTGGAGTGGGAATAACATCCAATCAACATAAGGAAAATACTATTGAGAAAAAATAGCTTCAATGAGGGCTAATAATTTTCTGCTCACCAGATGTCGCTACTTGACACCGAGGTAAAGTTTTTTTTGTTCCACAATGTCATTTAAGTGAGAAATTAGTTTTTAATAACAGTTTATCAGTTTCTAGAGTAATCTATGAATACACAATGCTTCAGTGGTTTGCTCTTTAATTTATTGCACTTTTTTTAGTTTTTCTCCTTTTATGAATATCTGTGTTTTGGTTTAAGTATTTTTAATCTTATTAATATAAAATATAGCTAATAGTATAGAAAGAAACAATAACCTTTACATTTTCCGAACAGATTAACTTCCCCGTTATGAAATCTGTCAAATATTATACCACACTTCCTAGAGGCGCCGCCCTGGTGGCAGAAAAAGTCGTGGATGCCCTCATTATTAGATATTTTTATCCTACGCCGCAGGTCCTGACTTCGATCCCTGTTACTATTTTGGAGTCATGTTGTGTTGTGATTGTCCCATATTGCTAACGCTACATTTGAATTGGATTGTTGGACGAACCAGTGGACCTCTGTATTTATGTGTACACTCACTATTATTATCTTACCAAAACCCTGCCATGGTCGAAAATCGGCAGGAGATCTACATAATTTTGACAGAGGTGACATCATTATCATCATTTCGGCATGTTTATTACACGCCTAATTTCTTATATTCTTTTGGAGATGGAAGCCATGAAATCCGCTGCACTCCTAAATGTTAGGAATGTAACAAGCTCGACCTGCGACCGTACCTACTATGAATAGTTCCAAGGGAAAACTACAAATCTCAGACATGTCATATGCCATTTGTTTAAATACAAAATTAAGTGGTTACAAGACGAAAAGACAGTGCATTTCTTATGCCGTCAATACAAGTAATTAAAAATAAGATAAATCAATATGATGGCACTCATATTAAAATAAACAATTAAATTATTTACTTACAAGCGAGAATTTTTAAGGTATCTGGGTGCTTGAGCACATACCACAGGATACCACCAAATAAAACGAGCACAAGCACGCACAACATGGCGACCAGCACCCAGCCGTACAAAGGAAAACCATCGCCATCGTCTCTCTCGCTTCGCGGCAAGCATTGATTGTTCACATCACCACGGTGGTCTTCCACCAACCTGAAAAAATAGGAATATATATTAATTATACATCTCTTGTTTGTCCACATTGGTTTAGTGTAGGATTTACTGATTTTATAAGTAGTCGGTCTTTAGTTCGAATCCTTATTCCAACTATGTTTACAGTAATTAGGGTTGTTGAAATTTGAATCAATTGAAATACTTTTTAAACTATCTTTAAAGAAATTCTATGAGAATATAAGTACACAAATACCATAGTTTTCTTTTTTTAGTCAAATAAACATCTTATTTGTATAATTTTTAAAGACTAAAACTAAACTAAAATTAAACCTATAACCGAAAAGCGACTAAGTTTTGAGATACTAATGAATGTAGCAAATTTAAATTCTATGATGTAGTAATTTAATAATGATTGTATCAACAACACGTTTCTTTGTTTTCGGCGTTAACTGTATTTCTGTATCTCTAACATCAACCACTAAAATGTTAGATGTACTAAGCACAATATCTTACAAATGACTATCCAATTAAGCATGTTTACTACCACCCTAAAACACGTACAAAATCGATAAATTCCGATAGGATTTGGATATAAAAAATATATGCTCTGGATATTTCATTGGTCTTCCATTTTAAGTTAAATTCGATTTTTAATATTATTTAAAAATATACTAATAGGATAGGACTGTCAATAAACTACTATAAATTATAATTTATGACTGTATTCCATTGTATTCCCATAGAAAATCATTTCAATGAGGGCTAATAATATTCCGTTCAACAGATGTCACTAGTTGAGACTGTGAAGTTTTTTTTATTACACAATGTCATAATTCAATTGAGAAGTTGCCTTTTTAATAAAAGCTTATTGGTTTCTAGAGTATTTTATAAATACACAAAACAATGGGTCAGTGGTTGCTCCACTCTATATTTTTCACATTTTTTAACCCTTTTCTCAATTTCGTTGTTTGTATAACTAATACATTTTCCTAACAAATTAACTTGCCCACCATGTTGTGATCTGTCAAATATTTCATCTCATTTTCAAGTGGCGCAGTGGCGCCGCCAAAGAGATTTAAGTAGTAGTAGTAATAGACCGGACATCAGAAGCAAAATTGTCGTCTGTAACTTATGTCCTATAGGATATATCTCCGATTTTTGTCATTTAGTCTAAGTGACATCGTCAAAAAGTCAAGACGCATTCGTTTCATATATTTAAAAAATATTTTTAAAGAAAATATGCCCGGTTGTGCATTAAGATATTGTAAGTCACGATATGGAGCAAAAAATGAACGTGATTTCGGTTTATTATCGTAAATATAACATATATTTACCGAATAATCTTTAAATTTTATTATTTCTAGTAGATTGTTCTAGAACATTTATTTTTATTGTAATAAGCGCCCTCTGTTATCCAGTAAACGTCACTATTTAGTTACCAATTTTAATTATAAAACAATCATATATATTTCCTATTATTATATCGAAAAGCATTTCAAACTTAGTAATCTTCAACAACATTATCGATATTTTCATATCGAAACGGTAACATTCCTAAAACGAGGTTATATTTATTAGCGTCACCTACTGGGGAATAGCTAAAATGTTGTCTTAATAAATGCTTAGCGTTGTTTTGCTATATTTAGCTAGAGGGTGCCACACGCGCATTAGCTCAAAGTTTTTGTATATAAATGTTCCCAATGTCCGCTCTATAGCATACATATATATTTAAATCTCTTTGGGCGCCGCCTTGGTGTCGGTAAGAAGGTACTGATCAGGTTACTCCATTAAGCCAGTTATTGAATAACCGTGAGTCGTTAATGGAGCATGTTACTTTATAATACTACTACTACTATAATACTACGTTAACATCCACACCAATGCTAAGGTCCTTCTAGTCGATTCTGGTCGAGTTGTTGAATAAATATCATAACTGATTCAGGTAGTATTTTAGTATTATATCTAAATCTACGCTTTTAGTAGTTTATCTTATTTATTTAATAGCCCGGGTAACAAAGATCAACCAGAAAGACCTTAGATCAGTTATTCCCAACCAGTGGTCCGCAAAATTTTTAAATATTTTGCCTACCTATTCGTTTTAAATAACACATTTATTATTTTCTCGTCCCGCGGGCAGTGCAATACCACGCGTCACGTTAGTAAGTACATTTTACAATAAATACACAAATAATACTGTTAACCAATGCTTCTTTTCAGTTATTATACTATAATTATGTAAAAAGTTGTGATTATATTTTTTGTTAGATTGTTTTTTTTCATCTTGTGGTCCCTGCTAACTACAAACAAAATCAAAATGGTCTCTGGTCAAAATAATTTAAAATTAAAAATTTTGTAAAACCGACTTCAATATAAATTATTAAGAATAACTCAAAAACTATTGGTCAGACCTTGATCAAACTTATGTGGGACCACATGTGAAGCACCAGCTTTCAAATAAAAAAGAATCTATCGAAATCGGTTCACCTAGTAAAAAGTTATGAGATAATACACATAAAAAAACATACAGTCGAATTGAGTACAGTCTCCTTTTTGAAGTCGGTAGAAAAGGTTGGCAAACCCTGCCTTAGATTGACGATTAATTAATTTATATAGCACCATTGGGGGGGATGTTGGAAGTATTTCCTGATTGAGTAATATCTATGCTTAGGTCCATTTTGTGCGTAACCACACGAGCATACAACTCCTACAGTAGAGCTTTTTAACAACTGAAAAAAGAAAACACTTACCCTATATCACAGGGGCCACATTCCGCTACAGACTTTATGCATGAGCTATGAGATGTAGGGGGCTTGCGCTTTAGGTCCTCACAGCGTAAGCACTCGCGACAGAATAGTAGATCAGGTTCGCAATAGAATCCGGGTGGGCATTGTGCATCCAGACTACACGCAGTCGGCTGAGCAGTGCCCCCTCGCAGCAAGCACAGGCACACAGCGGCATACAGTGCCACTTGTGCGCTGAAAAGGATAAACACGTAATTAAACATATTAACTAGGATTTTAAGGTCTTGTAAAACGAGCGAACATGTTTTCGCTGGACTTTAGTGCCCCGAGCTTCGTGACATGGGGAAAGGTACGCGACGGAAACGCCAACATTTATGAAAAAAAAAACATATTGTTTTGATGTTCGGGTCTAGTTGGGCTACTGTTTGAAGTCTATTTCATCACTGATATAAACATTTTGTTTATTAGTACGTTAAAAAATTATATATTTTTTTAAATAGTGCAGTCTATCTCTAAGTCTGTTTCGGTCTCTATTTCAATATAAATACGCAATAATTCTATGGTCCATAGAATTATTACTTATTTATATGGTCCGGGTGATAATTCCATGAAAATGACAATAAATTATTTATCCTCCAGTCCAATAAAGCATTATTATCTTATTACCACCATAAAATTATTTCAACACCAAACAATAAGAGCTTTCTCTCTTTGTCTACCAAAGCCTACTAAAAGTCTAGCTAACTAGCTACTACCTTAGCAAGAAATTATGTAATAATAATGTCCTTCAGACCGAACTTCGGTCACGGCAACCAGTCTCAACTGAGACGAGCCATCTGCGCAGGACAGGGTTATAGTGCCCGAGTGTATGCGCGAGCACAGGTGCACTCTCCATTCCCTCACCCTCAAAGTCCGATGGGACGGTAAACCGACACGTCCGGAGATCAGGCGCAGGACCAACGTCTTTACTTGCTTTCCGAGGCACGGGGGTGAGACACCGCCAACTTCCTCGCCCCGGGCTATACTACTCTGAGAATTTCTTGACAGAAAAATTTAACAAATGATTTTTGTTGGCCCGACCCGGGATTCGAACCCAGGACCTCACGATCAGCAGTCGCGTTTACGAACACTACACCAACGAGGCAGTCATTATGTAATTATTTTTTAAGTACGTAATATAACGCATTTAAAGCACTTGCAAGTGCAAGTGATGTCGTTATGATGACTTATTGAAAATGCATTAAGCCGCGTAGTATCAATGATTGTATATAGTATGCTTCATAGTAAAAAAGTTAAGGAAAGCCTGTAAATGTATGCTTGGCCACAGAACTTAGTATAAGTTATGGGGTAATGAATCCGCGCGCGGCTCGACTGATTATCGGCTAGGACTACCAGCCATCTAGGTTTTCCCGGATTTGTCTTAGTTTTCCGAGTTTCTGTTCAATTCAATAATGATCAATTAACTAAAATAACCTTTTAAAGATACCTGTTGGAAAGAAAGACAAGACAATTTTATTTTATAGGATAGGGTGACAAACGAGCACACAGTCCACCTGATGGTAAGTGGTTGCTGTGGCCTGTGGTTGGTGTCTACATCTATCCTCGTTTGCAAATCAAAATGCAGATGCGTTGTCACCCGTGAGGACTAAGATGAAATGCCTCTTTTCCAGTAAAAAGGGTCTCCGGTTCTCTACACTCACCATACGAAACACAGCAGTGTTAAGCTGGTATTTTACGCTGGTATTCTGTGAGAGCGTGGTTCTTCCCCGGTCGAGCCGACCCATTCGTGCTACAACTATACTACTAGTATAGCTGCAGCATGGCTCTACCACGTATAAAATTAAGAAGCGTGAAAAATAATAAGACAGTTTTAAATAAGTTAATAGATAACAACACGTTGAAATGTAGAACTTGTTTCATATTTAGAAAGAAGACAAAAATCCCTTTGCCGGGGCTACAGAAACGCTTTCGCACACTACCGCAGGTATGACAGTGGTAGCCTAAAGCTCCTTCTCGTTGAGGTAGTGGATTTGAAGTTCTCCACCTCGTTTTGAAATGAAAAGCATCGTTCTTCCTATTTCTCCGCCCCACCTTAAGCATAACGGAGATAAACGAACCTCGCATCCGCCGCCTAGGTTACTAAATTTGATTAAATTCACTGCGATCGTTTACCTGCTGAGCCACTACGGACGTACATATATTAAAAGATACAATGGGTATGCCTAATAAGTTAGATACTCTCAAAGAGTATATACCTAAATCGTAACGTTTAGTTTACTCATTTGTTTGACACTGTAAAGTTATTAATCACGTGAAGGCTGTTTAGAATTTACTGATTTCGCTATAATGATTTGCTATGATTATATAAAAGGTTTTAAGCCCAAGAGTGTTTTAGAACTTCTAGCTACTACTTTCGATGAATCTGCTTGTTTACGAGCAGTTACGAGCAGCAAAAGTTCTTGTTTACTGAATTCAAAAGATGACGAGGAGGTTTTAAAAATGAAGCAAAGACCACCCATCGCAGTAATTCAAGAAAATGTTCCCTAATTCCAACTCCTGGTTCAGTTTCCCTCTGTCGCCTCTTACGACACCCACAGGACAATATGGGTTAGTGGATATTCTTACACCGCCACTACACGGTTAATAAATATGAGCATATAAACGTTGAATATGTTCGTTTACACTTAGATTTTTTTAATGCGATAAGTTTCGTGGTCACGGGGGCACTAAGGTGTTTGTAGTTCTAATGTCAGATGGTAGCACGCGGACATCTTCTCCATAGTATTTAGTTATATTTTTAATTTCAAAAGCCTCACCATTGATACTTGGCAGGAATCAGTGTTCTCTGGCGAGAATTTGTGGTTTGTCTGATCAGATGCTATGACGGAGATAATGTTTCCGAACATGTCTAATAAACAAATAATTCAAATACTTGAGTATAATTTAATACGATAAAATCAGTTTTGTTTAGTTTACGTAGTATCATTATTTAATCTGATGGTTTAGTGTGCAGTTAATTCGCGTAAGTTTAAGAAATCACATTATAATGAAGAATCACATTGTGAAGACTAGTCAAAGAAAGCAATTACAATAGGTATAATTTTTTCGGCAAACGTGATAATTACTTTTCAATCGACTTCAAGAAAAGGAGGAGGTTCTAAATTCGACTGTATTTTTTTGTGGTATGTTCCTCAGGACCTTTTTTGGTGATTTTGACAATTATTTTTTATTTGAAAGCTGTTGCTTCTCACGTGGTCCCACATAAATTTAATCAAGATCTTACCAATAGTTTTTGAGTTAATTGACTTCGACTACATTGATGATGTTCTCATTTTATTTATATATTGAAGTCGGTTGTACAAAATTTTTAATTTTACCACTTGTTGGATACTGGTTAGAAAAAAGTATTAACTATATCTACCGGATTTAAGCCAAAAACAAGGAAAGTATGGAAATCACTGTTCAGTTTCAAATTAAATATGAGATAGAAAATCATTACATTGTCATACCGATTCCTTGAGAGTTGTGTCATATTGCCTGTTGAATAAACAACGCAATTTATTTATGAGTAACGCGAATGTAAGGTCAGACCAATGCGAAACAATACAGCCGAGCTGTTTCGATAAGTTATCCAAAGAAGCAGTATCATCTTATAATGAGATGAGGTTTTAGTTAGCGTTGTGTGCACGGTAAACATTAAACATATTATGATACATTTTTAACTTGTTTCTTATACCTATTTGATGCTACAGAGACAAAACTAAAACATAATTAGAATAGTGATACCTATATTTAATGCGAGGTCGACCATACACATGTAGATTATTGTTTACACATAGTGGCCTCAGAGCTGCTGACGCACTCTATTGGACGAAGTGATAATGTTCTGATCTTCAATATAGCATGCCTAAGGCCTTATCTAAACATTATTGTACTATACCGGTGTAGAATTAATGTAAATTATTATATGTCATTATTACAATTATATATAGTGATTTTTTTATCTAGTATGGGAGTGACAAACGAGCACAGTCGACCTGATGGTAAGTGGATGCTGTGACCCATAGACATCTACATTTATCTTCGATTGAGAATGAAACTTAAAGCTAAAGTTACAGCCTATGAGCATTCCATAGCTGGGCACAGGCCGCCTCTATTTCTGAGTGTATTCGAAATATTTTTTTCTTATTTCTCAGACGTGCAGGTTTCCTCACGATGTTTGCCTTCACCTCCGAGCACGTGGCAAATCAGCACTTAAAATTGCAATTAACAATTTCATTGGTACCAGCGGGGACCGAACCTGGAACCGCGTACTGTGAAATTTACAGCTAGCATTTAGCCCCTGAGCTACCACGGTTCTTATAGTATACTAGCTGACCAGGCAGACGTTGTTCTGCCCTTTGCGACGACCATTTGCTTTCCTAAAAAAACTCCTGACATTAGCAATAAAACAGTTCAGTAGTTTAGGAGTTCATCGCGGACAAACAACGTGACACGTAATTTTTATATATAAAGATATAGTGATAAAACAAGGAAATATCACAATTAATAACATTTTGTGTTTTAAATAAGCGTTTATTAGTAAATAATACATTGACAATATAAATATTATGACATTCGATTTAATTATAAATGCAAATGTTCGTTTGTTGTAAATTTTTACACAACGTTGCGTTCAAGTTATAAATATTATGTGCGTTTTATAAACTTTTTTGAAACAGCGACATCACTCGGAGTTAGAGCATAGCAAAAAATTGAACAAAAGCATACATTACGTCAAATCAATTCGAATGGTAACGTGAACGAATTCATTATGTTTTTATAAAAACCACAAATTATAGTCTGACTTCTGCGTCACTCAAGTTCAAATGACTGACGATACATGAGTCAATGCAATCGTGTCAACAATATCAGCATCAATACTCATCATCACGCTGCATCAATATCATCGTTTATAATTTTAAAATATATAAGTATAAGTGTGCAATACCAAATTAAAATATGCACAGAGAGAAGCCAATTCAATAAAAGGAAAACGAGAATTTAGACGCAAGCAGAGGTGGCAAAAAGACAAAAACGTATCTAGCTAGGAGAGAGTGAGGAATACAAGTTAGCGCGCAAGAGGGAGGAGTCCTCACAGCGAGTCGTCGATCTGCTTATTCACAGCACTATTTTAATTTATTCTAAATCCACACACGTGTCCTTTACGCGAGTTTCTGACTAAAGCGGTGGATGATGCAATCACCGTAGGCGAAAGCTCGCA